TCTTTATACCAGGCCAAACATATCGCTCCTCCACTAACCTAATAATATATATATATATATATATATATATATATGTGTGTGTGTGTGTGTGTGTGTATATATTAAACAACAATTAACATATTACATTTTCAGGAGTCCGATTTCATATGAGCTTTTGAGCACATTCATCAATAGCTTACTGGTAACTTGTCACAGCCCTCGCCACTTCTACGGGCAAAACTTGGTTAAACGTTTGAAGGAACAAGTAGATTCATCTTTAAACTTAACTCATCCTATAGTTTATTTGTCTCTTTGCAATGCTAATGAGAGCTGGCCTCAAAGAGCGCCAAAAGACTTGCTTAAAATTTTAAATAGCAGTTCTGAGTACCATTTTGTTAAAGGTATGAAATTACATTCAGCTTTCTTTTTATTTTGCTTACTTTTCCTCTCCTTTTTTGTGGAAAAATATGAAACCTTTTCAATTGAGAACAGTATAAATGAAAACAAAAGTGTAACTTCAAAATTTCAATATCCTTCAATTGTAAAAGTAACGATCATATTGCTGTTAAAATTTGATGCTTACAACATTAACCTATACACCTAAGTGGATTAAAGAAAAATATTTTTTTTCAATAAACCAATACTTTGAAAAGGTTCATTGTTCTAATATTAGCTGGTATTAGTAATAATAATATCTGATTCAGAAAAGAAATCAGTATAGCAAATACCGTGTAAATGTATACCGATTAATGGTGCTTTACCTTATAATTACATATAAAAAATGCTTCAAACACATTAACTGGAAATAAGCTAAATATATTTCGTGGTAAATCCGGTTGTTATTAATAATACATGATGATTACTAAAATGCTTGACCTTTTTATTAAACAAATTGAAATAGAATATGAATCTGCCTATTCCACCAAAAAATTGCTTTCAACCAAGACTATTAAAATAAAATCATACTTATTGAAAGTTTTGACTAAGCATATATTCTACTTGGGCAAGTTTTCAATTACCTTTTTAACAATACGTCCCCTTGACAACGCATGAAGTGTTTATCAATTCATACTTTGTCACTTAGTCCTACGCATTCCCAGTAGTGTACATAAAAATACATACCTGCCAACTTTAAATCCATTTGAGGATGATTTTCGTCAGTGGTAGTATAATGAAATTTAAATTGCAATTTTAGTCAGAAACATTTGCTGTATATAGGAAAAGTTTGAGCTGACTCCAATTACACTGAAACATTTTAAAATATATCTTTAATTTTTAAAAAAAAATAGTGGTGGTCAGAAAGATTACAAATTAAGTTTATAAATGCGAGGAATACAAAGAAAGCACGCAATTTACTGCCACTTTAAAAATGGAAATAAAACTTTACGCCAAATGCGTAAAAGTTGGCAGGTATGAAAATTTGACATTTTAACAGTAAATACGAATTTCAATTATTAATATGAAATTAATCACATTCATTGAGCTTTGTGCAATGATGTATTCTGCTTGAGTTCCTTCTGATTCAACAATTTGAAATCTTGGAATTCTTTCGCAATAATACCCATATAAAATATGTTAATTTTATCAGTATATTGTGTTTTTGTTAACTAGCTTTATTTTATTGAAATATTATGCATTAGTTGTGAATGAAGGTAATTGTCTTAAAATGATATAAAAGATATTTACAAGTATAACATTGCCGAAAGAAGACACAGTTCATACATTTACCAAAATATCTACTACTGACACAAGATAGACAGGGGGTCAGATTACAAAGAAAAAACTCCTTTTTTTAATACGAACTATATACTGTTCTTAATAATAAATGCGAGCTTAGATTGTCAACTTTAAAACAGCTCTCCCGCTTAATTTCAGAAAAAAAATTCCTTGACTTTTCCAGGTATATCAGGTAAATTTTAATGAAAATCCATTCCATATTTTATCTATACTACGAAATTTTTCATCAGAAAACTTTTATTCTTTTATTTGTTATGCCAAGTATTAGATTTTCTGTGTAAAATAAATATCATTATATGAGAAAGGAAGCATCTCAGTTTGTCTAAAATGTGAAATTTTTACAATAAATAATTGTAATAAATGTTAGAATTATTTAACTCGAATCTCAAAAACTGAGTACTGTTACTGGCAATTTTAAGACTGGTTATTTTCCAGGTATAATATAGGAATTTTTTAGGTTTTTGTAAAAAATTTGCAACTTTCCCTGACTATTCCCTGATTTTTGGAGTTGAAATAAAATTCCCAGACAATTCCAGGTTTTCCCTGTTCTCCCTGACCCGTGGGAACCCTGTTGAAAGGTGATCAACTTAACAGGTTTCACTGTACTAATTAAAGAAGTATAAAAGAAGGATTGTTGCTGGCTAAAGTGAATTTTTTTTTATTCTCAGATATCCAGTCTTATGCTGTAATGGCAGTTGCATGCTACACTAACAATTCGTTCATCATCAATAAGATCAATACTACTACTTTAGTATCACAAGTGAAAATAACATTGGACAAATTCAAAAAGAGCCAACTCCCGGATGGAAGTTTCGGAAATGTACAGACAACTTCCTTAGTAACGCAGGTGATCCAATCTTTATTATTTAGATCAGCTGTTCCCAATTTTTTTCTACTGCGGAACGCTAAATAATCAACCTTCCTTCGGCAAAACTCCGACTTTATAAATAAAGTAAATTAAGGTAAAAATGAACGTTATAACCTATAAAAGAATATTTTTTAAAATACTTAATTATGTGAATGAAGATTTTTTATTGTTTTATCATTAAAAATCTTAAATTAGGTTTTATGCCCGGCAGTTAAATTTGCTGCCTTTGTGCTATAGTCTAGTAATGAAGTGTAGTTTTTGGTGTATTTACATAAGCTGCAAATGAATAAAATAAGCGAATTATGGTTTACTTCAAAATGAAAGCTTGAAGGAACTGCTATAAGCGTTGAAAATGATTATTATGGAAATAAATTTCTTTAATAAAGAATTTGAAAAGCGCGAAAGAAAATGCTAATGCAATATTTTATAAATGCTTGCTCTTTTCATAATTTATTCAATATGCTAATTAGAAATATTATACATATTTTTCCTTTGAATCTTTATATATATTTTTTAATATTTTTATATATATTTTATATATTTGAAATTTATCTACATTTCATTTGAAATAATTTCATGAAGGCAACAGAAAGATTAAATAAATTAGGAATAATAGTTTGCATTTAAATATAATCAGAGGTTTTAAAACTCTTCACTGGTTATAAAAAGCACTAACTCGCTGAACCCCTTTAACTCTTCCACGGAACATCATTTGATATCAACTGATTTAGAGAATTAGTTAGTACAGTACACTCTCGATATATCGAACTTCGATACATAGAGTTTCGATGTCACGAAATCCTTGATATGTCACAAAAAATATTTTTCCCCTTGGCATTATATAGCCAACTAAGGTTAATTAGAATTCCTTAGAGTTTCTTCTCAAAACCTTGTTAGGTCGAATCTCTTTCAAAATAGAAATTAGAATTTTTTCTTAGAAAAATCACAAAATAAGTGTATTCTAAACCAAATCTTTTCTATTAAATACATACATATTTTTGTCTTACTTTTAAAAAAAAAATTATCGTTGTTGTATTTAGGCTATCGTTGTTGTATTAGGTATAGTAAACTATCATTACATACATATTTAATAGTATAGTTATAGTTATTTTTCATTACTCTATTTATTCGAGTAATATTTTAGAATGTATTTTTCTACTTTTTAGTATGTATTTAGTTTTGAACTTGTTATCTCAAACACTCGCTATGTCGAAATTTTTTTTAGCATCCCTTCAACTTTGAGATATCGAGAGTATATTTTATTAGATAATAAAATTTACTTAAAAAATACTTAAACCTACGTTCTTTAAGTGGATTAAAAAAATATTTAAAAAAAAGAGGCCTAAAAAAGGAAAATGTAAAACACTGCACTTTTAAAAGATAGGGAGGGTTTTTCATTGGTAGCAGAAGTTTAATACGGATACCTTTTTCGCCACTTAAAGCATAAATTTTAGATTTTTTTCATTTTATTTAATTATTTTCTTTTAGCTTTTTGGCTATTTGTCTTAGTTAGAAAACGGTCAAATTTTTACTTGGTGATAAATTTTGTTGCACCATTTACTAAACAATTGTAAATTGTGAATGCATCAAGTGTAGAACTTCTGTTAAAATTTGAGAACTCTATCTCGAGACAAAGTGATCAAATTCGCAATTGACGAATATTTCAATTTGGGGATAAAATTACAATAAATTCTACTCATACTGTTAGGAAAAGATTAATAGTTCCATCGTCACTCGCAAAAGAGCGACTTAATAAAATGGAAATAATGAAATAATCAACCCAAATCACAATTTTAAGCATCCATATCAATAAATGATTAAACCATGCATTAAAAAAGTTCAGTCATTAAATGAAACAAAAAATCGCTCCATTATTACTGACGAAAATTTGCGTTTTTTGTATAGAGTTTACACTGACCTAAAAAAAACTTATTCGACCACTAGAAAGAGAACAAATAACTCTGTTTCAATCCAAAACGGTAAAACTGATGGTTCTGTGTACTAGTACTGTTATGTAACACGTCGATTATCATCATTACTAATTTGTAAGAAGTCGATTATTATCATTAATCATTTGTAAGATGTCGAATGAGAAAGATTAAAATATGTCGAATAATATTTTTAATTGCACAAAATTAATTAGCAGCCTTTCAATTAGAAACGGGTGATACTGTACATTATTTTGTAAGACGTTGATTATCATCATTATTAATTTGTAAGAATTAGTTTATTATCATTTTTAATTTGTAAGAATTCGTTTTTTATCATTATTAATTTGTAAGAATTCGTTTATTATAATTATTAATTTGTAAGAATTTTTTTATTATCATTATTAATTTGTAAGAGTTCGTTTATTATCATTATTAATTTGTAAGAATTCGTTTATTATCATTATTAATTTGTAAAACTGAGAATGAAACTTAACCTCTTAACTTATGAATGAAACTTATTATCACCATTAACTTTCAAGATTATCAATATCAATTTATAAGAAGTAGATCACTTTCAGTATTAATTTGTAAGATGTCGAATGATTAATTTAATCGCACAAAAGTAATTTTTTTTATTTTGGATAAAAAATATTTTAAATAGATTCAATTTCAAAACTTACCCAAATAATTAGATTGTAATAGATTCAGTTTCAAAACTTACCAATAGATTCACTTTCAAAACTAACTTAATGTTTGCATAATTTCTAAATAAAAGAAAAAAAATGAATTATTTGCTTTTAATCATGTGTTTCATACAGAATTTTCAATGCCAAGTAAAATTTCTAATTAATCTTCAACATTAATTTAGTTACTTTCTTAATTTCATAACAGGCTCTAATATCAAGCGGACTAGGTCATGCCAGAGATTGGAACCTAAATGCAACAGTAAAATACTTAATTAAGGAACTTAATTCTACCGACGTTGACTTCCCGACTGTTTATTTAACACTTCCTGTATTCAATGGTAAAAGTCTGACACATATCTTTAAAGTGAACTGTACAGGAAATCCCCGGAAAAGGATCACAGGTAAGATATTCTGTTTACATAATGTGGTTGAAAGAAATGTTTAATATCTGACAATGTGTTAATAAATCAACTTAATTTAACTAGTACCCATACTAATTATTTTAAAAAAATTCTCAAGACTAGTATATACATTTGTGAAAGCGCTAAAACACGTCAACCAATCTGTATCATATGATTTCACAACTACTCCTGGATAGCATTGAAAGTGAGTAAACCGCGTAAGCAGAATGCTAGTTCACAGGTTTGTTAGCATTTCATCGATGAGGATAGTAAGATGACGCTACACCATGAAAAGTATTGATGAGATCAATATCTGATGTCTGTAGCCTAGACTACCCTGGTATGTATTCCTAAGTTTCCTCACTGGAGCAAGCCCATTACAACTAAACTAATAACTGCATTTTCTTTCTTTCATCTAATTAAATCGCGATATTAAAAATGATATTGTTTTAGTGTCTTCGACTATGTTGAATGTACACTGAAGAGCCAAAAAAACTGGTGCAGGCATGAGTATGCAAATAAAGGGGTATGGAGCCAATCAAAGTACAGCGCTGCGATCGGCAACGCATATATAAGACAACGAGTGTCTAGCAGAGTTCTTAAATCGGTTACTGCTGCTACAATGCCAGGTTATACAGATTTAAGTGAGTTTGAACGTGGTGTTATAGTCAGATCACGAGAGATGGGACATAGCATCTCCCAGATAGCAATGAAATTTGGATTTTCACGTACGACCATTTCACGAGTATATCGTGAGTATCGGAAATCCACCAAAATCCCCAGACATGCACATTATTGAACATATTTGGGATGCTTTGCAACGTGATGTTCAGAAGATATCCCCACACCCTCTTACTCCCACTGGTTTATGGACAGCCCTGCAGGATTCGTGGTGTCAATTATCTCCAGCACTACTTCACATTTATCGAATCCATACCACGTCGTGGTGCGGCACTTCTGCGAGCTCGCGGTGGCTCTACACGATATTAGGCAGGTATACCAGTTTTTTTGGCTCTTCAGTGTATATGTTACTGTGAATGATCCAAACTGGTGATTGTTGATTTTCACCGGTGAATGTTGACAATCACATAGTCGCTTTGGTAAATGTCCGAAATACATGCTAGGTCTAGTTTTTTTGAAGTTAAATGTCTCTGCCCGGTATGCATTTAAGCGGTACTCCGAACACTGATGTTTCTTTTAATCTATACTCATCAGATATTAAAATATTGAATAAATATAATAATATCAACGATGAAATTAATATCAATTCGGATATAACAATTATTTCGGACATACACCAAAGCGAGTCTGTGATGGTTGACATTCATCGGTGAAAGACGGCATTTTCCTCATACACACAACTCGCCTGTGCACCAGTTTTTCTTTCAGTTATGCTTTTTGTTTATTTATATTCTGCACATCAGGTTTAAACTGCAATTCTATTATTTTTATTGCTAATATGACAATATAGGTCATTCATTGACAATTACGCTCTGTAGAAATGTCTAAGTTGGCAGTCCATCAATGATCAATCAGTTTCAGATGGACCAATAGGAATGGGTTTCTATTAAAATAGGAATACGAATCGTTCAATAGGAATGGTGCTATTAACTAGTTGCCATTCACAAACGCAAAATTATGAAATTTTATTGGTTTATTCATAGTTTAGCCTCTGGCTTAGACATCTGTATTAGAATGAAATGAAATGCATAACACTGGAGCATATCGTTTGCAATCCTTAAAGGAAAATTTCTATTCAAACGTTTCGATTAGAAGTGGTTATTAAACATATTTCCCTTAAAAATAACATAGAATGCATAATTTTATTAAACAGTCATTAATTTTTTCCACGTCTATGTAAATTATTGCTGTAATAAGTAACTTGTGTTATATAGTGATGCGATATAAATTATCTTTCGGAAGTTCAATCAACAACAATTAAAATTTTTGTTCATGTTGTGTTTCGTTAACTTTACAGGTAACCTGAAATCTGAAATCGATGAATATGTTGGACCAAAAATAAGAGTTCAGTTTTCTCTTTTCATCGGAGACGAGAAAGATATCATCCATACACTCTTTCTCAGAGTACCAAACAATTATACCGCGTACAAAGTAATGCGGTACGCGGAAGAAGAGGATATCAAATACAAGTAAGAGTGCGTGATTTTGCTTGAAACAGTTTAGAACTCGACAAAATATGTGAGAATCAAACAATAATAAAAAATATGTGATGTGCACCCGACAAAATATTTGACAAAATATGTTATATTTAATGAACATTGTTTGAAATTTTCGCTCATTTATTTCCCACGTCCTCCTTCGCAAACTAAATTCAAGGTCATCTTAATAAACTTCTTCCTCCAAAGATTATCTTTTAATGTCTTGAGGTCTGCCTTAATGCAATCCATCCATCTTCTGTAAGTGAAGTCTTTTTATTCCTAGTACCCACGGCACTTGCAAAGGTCGCAGTAATGATGCTCGTTGTGACATTTCTCTTACAATTCTCTTCTACAATTAAACAGTTGATTAGAATTTCGTGGTCTGATCTTCTGCAATCGAATCAAAACGTCAATATTGGCCTTATAACTTTTTAGAATCCTTTTTGTAACATCATGAATGAACTTCGTTTTCGAAATAAGTGTTAGGGATCACGTTTTTATCCCATTAAGTTAAATACTTGGGGAAATAAATATTAAGAACCAGAACGGCAAATCAACAAACCATCTTAGCACATATTACTCACGATGAAGAGTAAAACGATTTCTTTATTTTTGTTTCATATTATTATTAAATAGTATTGTTTTCCCATTGATAATTTACAAAAATAAAATTCAATTTAACTAATAAAAAAATATATAAATTTAAATAAAACCTGAACTTTATTGTTCAATGTATTTTTTATTTCCAAGTACGCCATCGTCGCCTTATGGTGCCTTTTATGCAAACGGTTATTTATTAAACAGAGTTCCAGCTGTCTCAACTAAAAATGTGCCAAAGTCATCAAATACGAATATTTTTTATGACTCTAGCAATATTTGTCCGTTTCTATTTTCTATAGATTTCCTAAGACAACATTTACATCTATCATTTTCTATAATTGGAAAAAATAGCTTACGAAGATTTTTTAACAGATTAAAATCTGCCTTTATGCAATTTTGTTAAGGGCTAACCTCTAATACCATTCAATATGATATGTCATTTAAGAGTTGTAAATTTTTTTTCTTCAAATTTAATTGTTAAGATCGAAATAATTAAGAATCCCTTAGAATTTAAGTTAGTGTTTCAAAGGGTTTAAATAACAATGATTCATAGTAGTAGCTTTTTTTCAGTAAAATATAATATATATTTTGCCTAATTCACATTCCGTGTTATAGGAGGGGGCAAATTTTTGTTTCGAAATTTTTTTTAATAGAAATCAATTATTTATCAGTAAATAAATGTATCTTGAAATCAGCAAGAAATTGTTGTCCTAAACAGATAAAGAATTTTTATAAACAAAATGAATTACTCTGGGGAACACATTTTTTGTTGCATTTATACAGAAACTTTATTTTGCCTAACTCGAGAGAAGGGATTCTAAATCCGAAATTAGTCTTACTCCTAAACTACAATTTTTTAAATGAAAGTTTATGCATATTTTTTGTCGAAATGTACAAGTTCAAAAATGTTATATTTAATAAGGAATTACATAAATGTTGCAACAAACTTCTGGGGAAGTTAAAGCACATTATTTGTATTAAAATTGCATAGGTACCCATGCCCGGAAACGTGGAACGCGGCTAGTAGCGATTCCCCAGCATTATGGCCTGTACAAAAGAACACGAAGAAACAGTTCATAATATGGAAGCACTCCTATTAACGTATGACGACAGTTCCAGGCATGGGATCATATGCAATTTTAATCCCAAATGATGTGCCCCAACTCCCCTAGAAGTTTGTAAAACATTTATGTGACTTCCTGTTTTTTAACGTTTAACGATTTTACAATTTGTTTTGACTAAAATGTCATTATAAAAACTAGCTTGCAGATTTGAGATCGACGACTTGAAAATAACTAAGATCAATTAGAAAATCTCATGTGCCAGAAAAATAATGTTTCCCGGTTTTGCTATTTCACTTCTAAAAGAACAAAACTTCTTCTAACAGTGTGATAACTTAATAACTCATAATATCAATTTTATTTGAAATATCTCTTAGCTTTATCTGCTCAGCATATCATTTGTAAATAAAATGGTTATTTATCTTATACAATCTCTCTATATATGTAGTGCCAGTTCCTATTTGTAGTGCCAGTTCCGATCTGTGGTGCCAGTTCCTGTGCTGTTAGCTGATCTAGCTAGAAATCCAACCAGATTATGTAAGCTGCAAGTTAGACCCCGTGCGAATTTCCCTAAGACACGGGAACGCGTTTTGGAACTAACCAAAAAGAAAACGCTTATGAATTCCAGAGAGGAGTAGCAATAATAATTTTCTTTTAACTTCACGAAGACGAACTCGTTTATTTCTGTGTTTGTTTATCGTCCATCTTTATGTAAATTTAGCGTTTAATATATGTTTTGTTAAAATACAGTGTCTCTTATTTTCAAAGACGACCACTCATGCCGTCCCCACATATATATCCTCGTTTTTGTTCTATTTTGTATTGTACAGTATGATTCTCTTTTTTTTTCTTACAGATTTGAATGGAAAAGAATTTTGAACAAAATGTATGTGTATAAAATAGGAAAAATAATTAATGATCCTGACGTTGGAAAATTTTGGTTAGCTTATTTGGGATCCATCAAGTCTACTGTTTATAAACAAACAACATTAAGTAATTACTTTTTCTGAATACAACTATTTATATCAATACAAAAAAGAGTTTTATCTTTCTCAAAACTAATAAAGAAACAGAGCAATATTTTTTCTACATATTACCAGAAGTCAAGTGTATCGATTTATTTCTTTTAGTTTTGGTAGATAAATTCAATAATTGTTTATATAATGGGCCGATTCGATTAAAATTCGTCATTCATATAAATTATCAAAAAACTAACTTTTAGGGTTAATCTAGGTTTCCCACAAGTCTTAAAAAAATATAATGTTTATTACATAAAAAGAACCTCGATCATCCGAATTATTTGTGATTTACACAATATTTTATTTTAAAAGGAAAATGTATGTGTATGAAAACTCCGACTTTCCAGATTTTAAAACTAATAGTGGTATAATAAAATGAAGCTTCCACTAGCATTGACGTGAAAGAATATATACTTTCACAGATTTTCTAATGTCTGTAGGTTTTTCTAAGACTTTTTCTGAGATCGAACTTTAAATTAATTTACTGTCACAAGACGAATACTTACAGGAAGTCTGAGCTAAAACAAGGGGATGGGGATAATAGATAAATTTTTTCATTTCTGGTTTGAGAAAAATTAACTCTATCCGTACCTCTTCGTCCCAGTTACAGTCACTAGAGCGCCAAAGGGTTTTTGTATTTGCAAAATATTTANCCATGGCGAGACGATGAGGCAACCACAAGCTCTTCCACTGGTTCAAGAGGTCCACGAGGGAAAAATGCACAATATTTCCGTGATTACAGAGCACGGAAGCGAGAGGAGCAGGAAAAAGAGTCGTTGAATAGAACTAGTGATCCTTCTACGACTGCTGATTCTTCTACAATTAACGTCGCAGGTTGTGAAGTTCAACTTCTTCCGCGCGGAGGTACTCCACGCACTATTTTTTTAAAGGTGCAAAACATTTGTAACTGTCACAGCTTTTTAATCGATATAAAATATGCACAGGAATGTTTCTTGCCCGGAAAAATATTTTACTCGTTTCTGAAACAAGCTTGAAACTTAAATTGTATCGACTGCAAGTATTTTCTGTGTACTACAAGTACTTCTGTGAACTCCATGCGAGAGTTTATCTCGTTATGGTAAGAGAATAGTCTCTATTTGTTGAAAACCAATAAACTCATTCCATTGTCTTGGGGAGTTTGCCCAAATGCTTTAAAGAGGTCATATATGTTAATTTAACCATTGGGCTACAATTGCTTCCATATTGGAAACATGTGCTTTATTTCATAAATCAAAGTTTGGATTTACTTCATTCTTAAAAATTGCTTAAAAATGGAAATATTCATGTTCATTGTATAAATAACATTACATAGACATGGAAGGATTATTGCAATATTTATAAAACGAAAAGTGGAAGCTAAAAGTAGAAAATAACAACTTCTTTAAACTATAACCCAATTACATTATACAATATTTTATTATATTCATCATTACGTGAGAAATTTTGTTCTGCTGTGTCTCTTTCTGTAACATACAGGTATATTGTTGGTAAAGAATCTATTTCAAGATAATAGTCTTTGATTTTCGTCATCACTAATAAATTTTTCTAAGAACCTTGTTGGAAACCAGATGTTTATATTTAGAAAAAAAAATTCAGTTACAACGATAAATCTTTTATTTAATAACAAGTAAATAATTATATGCATGTGTTTTAATTTTTAGGTCCAGATCAAATTACATTGAAAAATGAAGATCACCTGGTAATGTGGTACAAAACAGCGACTATTTAAACACGGTGGTGTTATTCCATTCATGTATAATTTTGAATTTTCTGAAAGGGATTCCAATTCTCTACGAATTTTTTTTGTCATTTTAGAATAAAAAAGTTTGTTTTTGTAAATTAGTTCGAATTTTGAACTGTAAACTTGGTTGTTTAAATATCTGCTATTGTTGTATTATTACTTCAGACTCATACTTTGGTTATTAAGAGTAATTATATTATTTGGTGAACAATAATTTTAGACTAATTCTGGATTGGTATGCTAAATATTTCCTTTTTGAGAATAATACTTTACTGATATTATATGTTATATTAATTTACAGCTTATATTAGTACATAATTTCTTTTAACATTTGTAAAATAATCATAAAATAAACCATAGTAGAAGTTAAGTTTTACAGAGTATTACTGTTGCAAAAAAATTTTTTAGTTTTGTTGTTGTTTTCGTGTTAATATGTCATCGTGTTAAAATATTTCTTATTAATGTTCACAGTTTTATCAAATATTTATAATGAGTGATAATTTTCAAAATACATCAGTACATTAAAAATTACCGTTAACATTTTAATTTTCATAAATTTAGAAAAGCTCATTACTTAAAAGAAAATAGTATAACAGGAGATAAATTTAATGTTACGGCGTAGTTTTAAATATTCCGCATGGTGTAGTTTTTGCAATAAAAAATAAAAAGTTTAAATATTTCACGTGGAGTGTTTTCGCTGCAAAAAAAATGGAAACATATTTGTAAAGAAAAATATATTTTATTTAAATGTGAACTTTTTTATTGCAATTTTACAAATAAACTGCTAAAGAAATACTTTGATTACCAGTTTTATCTTTTTACCCTGATTGATACGATTTTATGCTGGCACGTATTTGTGACAGCCGGCGCGAAAGGGTTAAAGTCTATCCACCCTGCCCTAAGTGCAATGTGAACCAGTCTGCTCCTGCCCACATCCTATCGTGTATTGGCTGCCAGAAGAGCCACCTGGTCTCCAACCCTTCTGCAATAGTTCATGGCTTTGGGAGCTTTTTGGATGAGTTCATGGACTTGATTTAATGCTTCACTTGGTCAAGTGGGCATAAGCAACAACAACAACAGAACTTGGTCCTCACTCACGGTGTAAATACTGAATTTGTTGCTTCATTCTTTAGTAGTTATCGTAATAAAGACCTTTTTTCCACCAATAATGTTGTCATCAGCAACCGATCATACAGATGAAATTTAAAAGAGCAAAAAGTTAAGAGATGCAACTTTTTTTTTTTAATTTTGCAAATGCATTAACGTGTCACAGCATGATTAAAATCTTAATTTGCTTGGAAAGGAAAAAAACTGGATGTTATAACAAGGGTCCCAATTGCTTCACCGTCTTTAAAACATTACATTTTCAGAGAATTGAAGGCTAAGTTTTTATAGATTCCGAGCATACTTTAAAACCTCACCCCAAATGATTTGCAACAAAGGGCTTTCAAAACACATGTTTCTATTGTTTAAAAGCTATTGTGGCTACAATACTTTTTATCAATTTTTCCAAACTAAGGATGAAACATTAACGCATAAATTTTGCTACCATTACGGAAAGTTTCCCAATAAACCGAGAAAAATTTACATTTTGAGTCAGATTATTTTTAGATTATTGTGACTACCTTCAATAATTAAAAAAAACTTCAAATAAATGTACGTGCTATTATCAATAAAAAGGAGTGACGGTCAGGAAATGCAGAGCTGCCAACTTTCTACGCTTTTTGTAAAAATTTATTCCAGTGGTAGCTAAGTTAATACTTTAATATATTATCTTTTTATTCATTTAAACTTATATTCCACACCACTACATATAAAGGAATTAAAAGTTCATATGCAACACCACATTATATCAGGTCACTCATGGCGAGGTATTAAAAATGTTGGCAAAATAACAAAAAATTCTGGAAGCTTTGGTTTCTAAATGTCTACCGCCCTATCAAATATTTTGCAAAAAGCGTAACAGTTGGCAGGCACGTAAATGGTTATTATTTCAGATAAAAGGTCCGATACATACCACTTACAGAAATGCCAACTGCTCCGGACGCTCCACAATAATTTATAGAACAGTAAACAACTCTACATACTTACTAAAAGTTTGAAATAATTGACTAATTTCGCCTACTTATTAAATGGTGTAGCTTAACTTACAACTAACCAAGGGGAAAATTATATACCTCTTCAAATCTTTTAGAAATAGTGGTGGATAAAAATCTAATAAATTGAATTTAATACCTCCAGAAATACACATTAATGTACTACCACTCGAATATATTTACTTGCTGTTGGCATCTCTACAGTTATACTAGCTCAATTTCCATTCCTGGTAGTTAACAGTACCTAACTAAATGTATGAATGAATATAAGAGAAAATTTAAATGTAAAAGATTGTGTTTACAACAATAAGTAATTTTATTTGATTAATATAATACTTATACATTCTTTATTCAGTATAACATTTAGAATAAGTCTATATCAGAACTGCTATTTCATTTAAACATTCAACTCAAGATTAAATCACTTCATCTTAAAGTTAGAATTTCTTAAATTTACCAAACAACAAAATGCATGAGAAGAATCCTTTATTTTTACATAAAAAATAGAACTTAAAGTGTAAAATATGTAAAAGTTCATGTTTTTAATTTTCATTTACACTATCGTTGGTCGAACTACTAATAAAACACTTTTCAGAAATGTGCTTTCTTGTACCACATGACCAAATGCTCCTTGTCTTGCATAATAAGTTGGTCTGGACCTAAAAAGAATTGTTTCAAAAATTATTTCTTTAATTTGTTTTAGTAAATTGTATGTAAATAGACCGAGAATATTTCATTCAAATAAAAGTAAAGAGTTAATATTAGACACTGTGTGATAAAAAAAAATTTGTTTAATGGCAAACAAATCAAATGTAATTTAATTTTCCCCTTTAGATTCTTAAACGATTAAAAAAAAGAATATTTTTCTTTCAATCTTTCATTTTTCTTCCATAACATTGAGAGTTATTGAAGTTTATAAAATTTGATTTTCAAAACTGAAGTTAATGACATATTTTTTCAGACATTAACTTAAACTGTAAATTAAATAAAGATAAAAAAATAAAAAATAATGAAAAAAAGGTTTTTAGTTAATGGATTCAGTTTTTATAACAAAAAAATTATTAAAATCCATCTTACTATATACACTTTGATTTTGTTATGCCTAAAAATTAATTTAGAAGCATTAAATTAGTAGGTAAAAATGTAGTAAAAATGTATATAAAAAAAATAACTAAATTAAATTAAAAAGTATTAAATAAAATTATTAAATTAAAAAAAGTATTAAATTAAATTATTAAAGTGTAAAAAGGCATTAAATTCATTTTCTGATGAAAAAATTTTGCGTTAGCTTTATGTGATCGTAGAAAAATTAAAAAAGTAGTATTCGATTTCCTATTCAAACTATTTCAGTTTCCTCTTGTTTCGCTATCTACATTAAAATAAAAAAAATAAAAAAATTTCGATAGCTTTCTGTGATCGTAGAAAAATCATAAAAGTAGTATTCCATTTTCTATTCCAATTATTCAAGTTTCCATTTATTTTTGGAAGAAATAATGTATCTATTGTTACGACTACTTTTAATAATTCAGAAGATATGAATTCAGTACTACAATAACTCCATGAAAAAAAATATTATTTTGAAAGTGCTGTTATAAGGAAAAGTTTGCGCTAGAGCTTTGATAAAATTGTGCATACCATTTCAATAAATTTTCAATGCAATATAATTTGAAATATGATTCAATTATTTAAGAAATAAATTTATGTAATGAAATTCAAAGTCTTACCGAAATTGTAGTGAGTGAGATTGTCTGTCACATTAGCTTGACCTTGATAAAGCAGCCAGAATAATCCAGCTTCTGGGTCATTAGTTACTCCACTAATTTCATATACGTATAGCATTCCAGAAATAGATTCGTATTTAAAACTAAAAAAGAAAAAAAAACAAGAAAAATCTAGTAGTGAAGACTATACGTAAATATATATATGTCACGGCGAAAGACCGAAAGCGGTGGTTGTTGACTTTCACCGATGAATGTCGACAAACACCATATACGTCGGTGAAAGATCGAATATATCATTACATTCTTGTACATTCGGACCCTCACCGGTGTATGTCGACAATCACAGATATAGTTATCAAATCATATTGAAGTTTTCTTCAGTTTTTTACTTCAAATAAATATATTTTTTTCTTTATTTCTAACTAAAGAACAGATGGAAATGTGTTCTGAGTAAAAAAAATTAAACCAAAATTTCACATTACATGATATAAATGTGTCAAACTTGTTTTTTTTATTACAAAAATGTCAGAATGTTAACCAAAATGCCCAAAAGAAATGTGCCAATCTTGTTTTTCTCTTTGTTTTCACCGCGACGAATTTTTAAAATGTTTTCGTAATATAAATTTCAAGAATTTTCATGTTCTTTCAAATTAAACTTCTCATGATTGCTACTATTCTTTTCAGTAAAATCTGTATTTGTTTGTTTTATTTTCATCTAANACTGATGTTTTTTAAGGTTAAGTGCCACTGCCCGGTATACATTTGCCCGGTATACCCTACATTGATGTTTTTTTAAGTTTAAGTGCCATTGCCCGGTATACCCCACACTGATGTTTTTTTAAGGTCAAGTGCCATTGCCCGGTATATATTTGCCCGATACTCCAAACACTGATGTTTCTTCTAATCTATCGTCAATAAGTTTTAAAATATAGAATAAATATAAATATATCAAAAAAATATAATAATATTAACGAATAAATTAATATAAAATTGGATATAACAAATATTTCGGACATTCACCAGAACGACTATGTGATTGTTGTCATTCACCGGTGAGAGTCAGAAATATGGGTATTTAGCAAATATTTCGGACATGCACCAAGCGACTACATGAATGTCGACATTCTCCAGATTTCGGTGTTTCACCGTAACATATATATACTATTTTGTTCGATTTATAATGCAGTGTAGAAACTAGAGTTCAGCAGTATAACATTGTATCGTCAAATATTGATATTTTGAAATATTGTGTTAACTTTATTTTAAAGTGTTCTTCTTAGGTATCAAATACAATATTTATGATATCAAATATAATGTATTATCGATGACAATAGATAGAACAAAATATAACAACTAACATTATCAAAAACGATAAATGGAAAATGGCGAACTTGTCATCAAAAATAATAAAACCATTTTGTATTTAACGACAAAATCACATAGTATTTAAATATGATGATGCATATCCAGCAACAAAAAATTGTCCCACAGCTTAATTCATGAGTTCCCTTGTCTTCTGGGTTGGGTTCTAAATTGCAAAGACATGGAGTTTAACATTGACAGTCACAAACTAAAAAATGGTTTGGCAGTTCAACGTCGGTTTTAAAATAAAATCAACTTATGACATATATTTATAAGTCACTTTCGTTGAATATTTAAAACTTTTTACAGTTATAGTTATCAGAATTTATAACTAAAAGAAGAATTATGCCTATCTCTCTAATGCAGTAAAAAGTGAAAGAAGCTATTTTTATATTCTTATCAATTCTATAAACTTATAAACAAATTTTATGTATTTTTATAAACACCCTCATTTGTTCGAGATACTAGGAACGTTTTGTAAGAGAAAAATTAAATTTTTTTCATGATTAAATAATTACCAGCACTTTTAATCAAAATATCAACTTTCTTGTTGGACCGACCAGGTGGCCGAGTGGTTAGCGTGTCTGACTACGGAGCCATTGTCCGCGGGTTCAAATCCTGCTGTGTGCATGGATGTTTCTTTCTCTCTCTGTGTGTTCTAATTCCTTTCTCCTTTGTGTGAATGTGACCCGCCCTATAAACAGGTTTATGGTTGTGTGACGTGGGCGACGCTGCTCCACCGCCGTAGCTTCACCACACGTTCTCACTGGATAACGAGAAAAGAGTAGCAGTTCTAGCATTCCTGTGGCCGATGGGACAATCCCAAAGTGCCCGCCATTAAAAAAAAAAACTTTTTTGTTGGTATAATTACTTAAATTTGCTGTCCTCAGTTTTGGCTAATTCCATTACGTCATAAGCTGTATAGTTTTCTGGCACTCTCAGTGAGATGGTGTGGATGACATCAATTTCGTCCCCAACAAATAGGGAGTACTGGATACGCATTTTGGGACCGGCATAATCACTAATTTCAGATGAAAGATTATCTGTAAATTAATTAAAAGAAAATTCTATATTTGAATAGAATTATATATACATTAAAAGTAAAAAAGCCATATAACATGTTACCACCACTAATTACACAAACATATATCATAGCATACCTGCCAACTTTTAATTCTTGGACAGGCGAGCTATCAAAAGTTTAGTCCTCTTAATTTTGATTTTACTTTTTGCGTCTTTCGCAATATCTCGAGGAATTTTCAGACTCATCGAAACATTTTGTACACAGTTATAAAATTCTTTTATCCAAGTATCTATGCAAAAAATTATTTGTTATTTTTTTGTAAATACGCTTTAAAAATATTGGAATTTTAAGACACATAAATTATTAAATCATTTTAAGGAATGTAATTTTGTATAAATAAAATAATATATATACTGTTTCCTTGAGACATGTTGAAAAATAAATAATATTCATTAAGGTTGTTCAAAATTTTGAAACTACCGTTTCAGAAAATAGATTATATTTATTAAATATTTTTAAATTTAAGAAGTATCTAAGTTCAAGATTATTCGCTCAACTTTATTAAACATATCTTCCAGCAATAAATTTGGCTGGTAGATTCATAACTATAGTAAATTCCATTGATATACTTCAAAAATGTTATTTCTTCTAGTTGTGATAGTAATGAATAATACGATAGCATACCTGCCAACTTTTAATTCTTTCGAGGATGCTTTTCCACAGTGGTAGTAAAATGGAATTTAAATTACAATTTTAGGCCGATATATACACTGTATAGTGAAAACGCTTTAACGGAATATCACGACAGTAATACATATTAAAAAATATGTTAAACTTTTTTTAAAAATAGTGGTGGACAAAAAATATTATAAATTAAGTTTATAAATGCAAGGAATATATAGAAAGCATACATTTTACTACCACTTTAAATATAGAAATAAAATTTTACGCCAAATGCGTAAAAGTTGGCAGGTATGCAATAGACTCCTTGCGAGTTCAGAAGAAAGGCTTATAAGTATTCTTCATTTCGATCAATTAAAAAGTGCCGACCAGGTGGCAGAGTGGTTAGCGTGCCTGAGTGCGGAGTTGATGGTTGCGGGTTCGATTCCCGCTCAGGGCATGGATGTTTCTTTCTCTCTCTCTGTGTTTTACGTCCTTTCTTTTGTGGGAATGAATCCCGCCCTATAAACGGGTTTGTGGTTGTATTACGTGGGCGACGCTGTTCCACCGCCTTGCCTTAGCCGTAGGTGCTCACTGGGTAACGGTAAGAGAGTAGCAATTCCGGCATTTCTGAGGCCAATGGGAAATAGCAACCAAGTGCCCGCCATTAACCATCAAAAGAACAATTAAAACGTAGTTCAATTATAAACACAACAATATATATTTACGTCTGTCTAAAAGTTCTGTGAGTGAAAAATCACGTATGATTTCCAACAATCAAAAAAAGCCTTTATTCACGTTACAATGAATTACACAAATTTTATTTTAATATTTTCTAATGCATTTGGTTTTAAAACGTTATTATGGATATTTATTCGTCGCTGATTTTAAATTCTATATCGGTTTCATTCTACGAGAGTTTTTATGCAATTAAATAATATATTTCTATGCGGAATTTTTTTAAAATTTGAGTGACTACTTAGAGTTCCCACCTCTCTACTACGTAGAAAGTGATTGGAAGNGCTAAACGCAGATTTTTTCGATAAAGCCATAGAATGTAAAACAGCAAATTTTAATGAAATCTTTAAATTTGAAAATTATATCAAAGATAAAAACTACAGACCAATAGCTGCACATTTCACCTCCGACGCCTCATATCATAACTATCAAAACAAATAATTTCATCAACCTTTCTGAAAATAACGTTTACTCATGCTGATACAATTCTGAACAACTCCAAAATCAAACAAACACAGTTTAGAGCAAGCTGCTCAATTTATTTTTGATTCCTTTTTAGTTATTCAAGCAAAGAGCTTGAAACATTCATAAAAGCAACTCCATTGCCTGCTTACCTCATTGCTCAACCAAAACTGTTCTAAAATTCCAGATGAATGGGATAGGGGCCGCTTCGCGGCCCAGGTGCCCAATAAGATCAAAACACTAGGACTAGGACTAGTACTTATGTCATGCTGTACCTTTTAAAAAGCAAGCAAAAATAGTCAAGTATTTGCAAAATTTACTTTGTAGTTGTTTACCGTTTTTTTTATTATTTTGGCGTGTCCGGAGCAGTTGGCATCTCTGAAGTGGATGTACAATATATGTATTCATATTTACTTTGAAAGTAAATCAGAAATAAGTATGCTTGACGAGTTCTGACATCTAGATTAAGATAAACTAACTCATTACAAATAGTGTGATGCTAGATTGAGAAATATACAAGATTCCGAGCAAAACAAATAGATTGTTTTAATCTTTTGAACACTTCAACCTCGAATAGATTCTCATCTAAACTCCACTCCGTCATTTATCAGAGATGCCAACCTGCTCCGAAACAGCAAATAAAAATTTTCGAGTGATTGTTTATTAATGTGTGATTCTTGGTTTAATAAATTCAATTTATTAGGTTTATATCCACCACTATTTCTAAATAATTCTTAGGCATATATAATTCGCCACTTTGTTAAGGCTAAGAAATGTAACACCGTTTAAAAAGTAAGTAAAATTAGTCAAATATTTGCAATTTTTTGTTTGTAGTTGTTTACTGTCTTTTAAATTATTATGGTGTGTCCGGAGCAGATGGCATCTCTGCGTTTTGATCCAATTTCAGACCAAGAATAAAATCTTGTAATTGAAGTTTTGCTACCACTTTATTTGGGAATAGCATCCGACTGAAAAATTTAAAAATTAGCAGCTTTACGATAAAAGCAGCAAAATCAAGCCAATTCAATAAATAAACAAATGTTCTTTCGAGCTAGAGTTGTTGTCTAACAAAAAAGTAAAATAAAATAGAATGAGAATTTTATTACCATATCCGCTTCTCCTTGGATTTAAACTGCAATTTACTCTGGCGACATCTGAAAGGCTTTTGGCATTGAGAACTGGAAGAGCTAGGTAACTCGCCAAAAGATCATGAGGTAGTGATAGTTTACGAATCAAGTGTTTTATGGTGGCATTTAGCTTCCAGTCTTTTGAGTATTCATGGCCACTTGAAAGAAGTGCCTGTAACAGCATGGACGCGAGTTAGGGTTAATAACGTGTCTGGTTTCTCTAAAAAGAGTTTTTTTTTATGCTTTTCATGCTCATAATCTGATTTGCCTTTAGAATTACAAATGTAACTAAAAAAACTGTAATTAACGATATCCAGAATTTAAATGTATAATACCTCGTATGTGTGAGTTACACTATTTCATAGTTAAAACTACACTTCTGCACTCACTTCTCATTGAAATAACATGAGAAGTGAGTGCAGAAGTGTCATTTCAGCTTTGAACCAGCGATATGGTGCTCTCGGTCAAAAATGTGTTAGCACCAGAACTTTACAAAGCTCCAGAATTTCACAAAACAATTAGATTATTAACATGGTTTTTGAAACTCTGTCAAAAGGAAACAAAAAGTGCTAAAGTTTGAGTGATTTATTCTTGAAGCAAAACGATGATTTTAATCTATATATATATATATATATATATCGTGTGATCTCGGTTGTAGGACAGACAAATAACTTAAATATTTGAAAAGTTATTAAACTTTTTTACAAATCACCAAATTGGCGATATTTTTTTTTTTTTTTTTTTTTTTTTTTTTTTNTTTTTTTTTTTTTTTTTTTTTTTTTTTTTTTTTTTTTTTTTTTTATCTGCATTAAAAATTATCAAAATACTACTTTATTCTCAGTTTTTGTAAATTTTTATGAGCTCAGATAATACAGCACCAGAGAAAGTATTTGAACATCAGACCAGAAACGCTTTTCACTTTCACAGAGTTTTGGCTTTTCTCCATACAGACGTTTTACCCTGATGCTTCTGTCTTTAGATGGGCTAAACTTGTCCTAACAGTCATGAGTGACTGTTAAAAACTCACAGCAGTTATGAAAATAGCATATTATTCGCTAAAGATAAGCATAATTTTATATGAGTCTTCGAAAACAATCCTTAAAGAACAAAGTAAAACTAAAATTTATTCTTATTACTGATAAAAGGTTCGCGGAGACCTGTACTATAGTAAAAGGGTAGGTATTAAAAAGATAAATTTTAATACTCAATAACCATACCCTTCTATAAAAATCCGTGTATAGCATTACATTCTCAGAATAAATGTCCCGAAAACAAGAAAATGTAAATTCTGCTTCAAAACTTCGCTCCCTCTTTTTTATTCGAATACAATTCCATACCTGCCAACTTTTACGCATTTGGCGTAAAATTTTATTTTTATATTTAAAGTGGTAGTAAATACATACTATTTTTTTCTTTTATAATGTAAATTTTTAAATTATTTTCATCACNTTATTCACAAAAGATAAGCATCATTTCATATGAGCCTTCGAAAACAATCCTTAAAGAAAAGAAAACTAAAACTTGCCTTTATTACTGATAAGAGGTTAGCGGAGACCTGTACTATAGTAAAAAGTTACAAATTAAAAGGATAAATTTCGATACTTAATAACCATACTCATCTATAAAAACCTGTGTATAGCATTACATTCTCAGAATAAATGCCCTGAGAACAAGAAAATGCAAATGCTGCTTCAAAACCTCGCTTCTTCTTTTTTATTCAAATACAAATCGCCTTCCCAATCGCAAAAATATCACGGGTGGTCGAGAGCATCATTGTCTACAATAAGCTAAAGTAGCCACAATAAGCCTTGAGCCACAATAAGCCAAGCACTGTCTTAAGATATATAATTTGATTTCTTCCAACTTACCTGAGTTATTAAAGATGTGGTATGAACGTTTCCAAAGCTCCCATCGGAATGCTGCATTTGTTTGAACTGTTGAATGATGCGTAGATAATGATTTTTCAGATTGCTGTTTTCAGTTTCCTCAAGAATATTGGTCTGATTCTGGAAACAAGAAATAGCCATGGTTGCGATTGCTTGATAGTCTGCAAAATCATATAATCAGAAATTAAATGGCAAAAACTTACTTTATTAGTATTTATTTTGAAATATTATGTCTTTTATGTGAAAATGTTCATAAATACACTATTTTTTATTGGTGTTTTAAAACTAAAAGTGTCAACGGAAGAATGTAATTTTCTTAGCTCAGATATAAGCAACAGCTTTATTAATAAAAATAATTTTCCAATATTGAGAATGGTAACTTTATTTTACTTTCAAACAAATGACGCTGCCAACTGAAGCTTGAGTCAGTATCTCTTCTTCGAACTTGTACACCACCAGAAAGTCAGGTCTTTTAGTTACAGTAAAAATAAAAAGTAACTTGATACAAAATTTTATTAGTTAATGTGCTTTTCGGGAGGCTTTTAGTTAACATTTATGATCTAACTTACTATCCTTAAATTTTAATTACGAGAATTACTTGCATGTTATTTTGAAACAATAATTTACATCCAATTTTTTTAAAACCCTTCATTAAACAGCCAACCCAATTTTTGGGCTTACGACTACTAATGTTCAACTCCGTAGCCTTGTAATTTTGAACCCAATCCAGAAGACAAGGAAACCTCTGGATCAAGTATCGGAAGAAATTTGCCTTTTGATGGACTTTTTGATGGAACTAACCCGCTTTTGCGTTATATGGAGAGGAAGACCACAAGAACCTCCCACGATTAGCCTGACGGCAAGGGGACTCTAACCCATGATCCGTCTAAAACTGAATATATTTAACGTCAGCACTGTGGTCAGTGCAAGCCGGATGCGGAATTCGTATCGACTGGGATTCCAACCCGGTTCACCTCATTGGAAGGCGAAGGCTCTATCCCCTGAGCCATCGCGGCTCACATTCAATTTTTGTAAGTTTTAATGATAACCTAATTCCCATTAAAAATTACTCCGAGTATATATTACGGATTTTTAGCATTTTCCTCAATGCTCATATGTTCTGTGCAAACTCTCATGTAAACACAATACCGTAATATCTGTTTTGGGCAGAACTTACGTAAGTGAAAGCACAATATTTGAGTATTTTGCATCCGAAATTGCCCAACTAATCTACATAAGATTTTCGGGTACCAATGTTTAACACCACAGCAGCTTTCGAAATAAGCGCAGAAATATGGGAATTCTAGGATTGGCATTTAAACAAACTAGCTTCCATGGAGGACTTTTTGATGGAAATGACCATTATTTGTATTTGATGGAGAAAAAAAATCAGGGTCAGCCTCATGGTTAGAGATTTCTTATTCATAATCAGTCTGCTACAGACTAAATGTCATCCCAGAACTGTGGTTGGTGAAAGTGTGAGCTGTAAGCCATGGTTAACTTTACCGATAAATGACCGCCTCTTTCTAGGATTCATCCTAGCTGTTTTCCTGTCTACCTAGGACCACACAAATTTAAAAGAAAAATGATATTTGAAGTTTATAAAACAAAAATG